TTTAACACTTCAGAGGATATTTGGTCAAATACCATTTCTGTTTTTTTAATGAATTCGAGATCAGGATTTCCTGGAACACTGACCATGTATTCGTAAGGTAGTAAATCCTGAATGGTTTGGTTGATATCGAGTGTACTTAAGGTTCCCTTAGAACTAATAGTGGCGAATGTATTGGAGTTCAGTTCGCGGCTGTTAAGATGAATAAGATAGTGAACAGACTTGCTACAAGTGTTTTGCGCTTGCTCAGTCTGCGTAAAGTCATCCGGAGTAATGAGCATATCAGAGAGTGAACAGTCCAGATCAACAGTACTGGATATCCTATGGCAAAAAGGCCTAAGGACATTTTTCGGATTGCTATAAACTTGATCCGCCTGTGGGCTCGTCAAGTGTTTAGGACCAGCCACACTTTCTAACAAGTGCTCACAGGAATCTATTTCAGATGAAACACAAGAAGTAGTGGATGGTGTCGAGTCACTCGGAAGGAGGTAAGTTGTATTTATATCAACGAGCGGGATACAAGGTAAAGAGATGTCGTTTTCAAGTTCACGGTAAGATTCTATTAAGCCAGTGGGTAGATCAGAATAAGATACGGATGGAGCACTGTTCTTACGTTTGATTTTATCGAATTTAGTAGCGGATTTGGATCTTTTACAGGAGTTATATTCGACAGGTGAAATCAAGTGTTTTTTAGATAAACGTGACATGTTTGTGGAGTTATTTGTAAGCAGAGTTTTGTTACTATAGGCACAAGGTCTGTTTGGGATTATGAAGCCAAAAACTACAGCGAAAATTACTAAAATAAGAATAACCGAGGAGTGGTTGTAAGAGATGAGTTTATATGTCCCGTTGAACTAGAGTAAAACGATCGGAAAACGAAAAAGATAAAACACGTGAAAGAGAGAGAATTGGCGAATATATGAATGTGATTAAAATGAACATATGTATACATAGGAAAATGGATGAGTCATCCAAATAGTTAACAGGCTAATATTAAAGCGAGTAGGATGAATATGCGCGTATGTGATTAGCGATGTTCTGTCGTACCAGGTCATACAAACCAGACTATACTAAAAGCTAATGGTGCATATAAGTTATCGTTATGCAAGTGACTCAGTTAAAGAAAGCAATCAAAAGGCATCAAAAAATTAAATATGAACAAGCACAATTGTATGTGCAGGTACTACAGGTTGTTGTTGATGATGTCTTGCCAGCGGACCAGGAATATTTTGCGTAAATAACTTGTAATGCACATTTGTATCTTCCGGATGATGGCTCTGGTATTTCCCCATGTTTCCACCGGGCAGAGCAGAACTGGCCTGACGTTCTGAGTTTGGTGTCGGTTGACAGTTGTTTTGAGTTCCACACATACATTAATTGTAGAAACAATGCCCTAGCTTTGCTAAGATGTGTTTTAAAATCTACACCAGATCTACCTTTCTCTTGACTAATGCTCAGCAGACACACAAAAACTTTTTTAAATCCTCCTGAGGTTCGCGGTCAGGTGTGATTTCGTTGATGTACCTTGTGTCGTATCGATCGATGAATAAATGGGAACACATATTTGAACTGAAAGTAAAATAGTCGTGGTGTATGATCTTTTAGAGGATTAGTTGCTGAAGTTTCCTCCTTGTCAGTCAGTCAGTCAGCTACAACGTAATACTTCGTCGGTACATTCAAAAGTTCAAGTCTCCATATCGCATTAGCACAGGGATACAATTGTAAATTCACATCCGATAGTGGTAGATGGAGTAGAAGTATTGGAGCTAATGGGAAAGATTGGGGTTAGAAGCTATAGTTCGAAAGTATAATCCAGTGAGGGGGAGAATCGCATGACGAAGATGCTTGCATTGTTGCTTAAGGTATTCAGAAGACTGTATTTTTCAGCGTCTTCACTCAATGCAACTATGTCATCGGCACATTATAAGCCAACAAGTGAATCTCTCGGTAAACCTTCAACCCTGGAAAAGTCAGATGATGAATGTGTCGTATCTGAAAGCAGGTCAGTGAAAAAGTTGAATAAGAAAGGACAGTCGCGTCCAAGAAGAGAGCTTGTATAAAGTTAGGGTACTTCTTTGGTACAACTTTTTATTGTCAGACACTGCCAAAGCAGCCTCACAATCGACAAAGTCGAATGCTGCTTTAAGGTCGAGGAATAGTACTAATGTGGGATGTCTGGACGTGTGTCTATGTTCTAGGATCTGACGTAGTGTGAATATCCTGTCTATACAGCCACGTCCAGGTTTGAAACCAACCTGAATTTCTGGAGTCTGCTCTTCACGAGCTCAAGCTAGGAGTTGAAGTATTTCGAGGCTAAAATTTTAAACACTATATTAGTCAAAGTGATTTGCCTGTGAATGTCACAGGATGAATGTTTCCTTTTTAAAGACCGGAACCACCAGAGATTGAGACCAGTCGAATGGGATTACATGCAATTCCCAGATCCTACCTAAGATATCAACCAATGTCACTGAAAAACCTGGACCATCATCCTTAAAAATCTCAGAGGTTTGACCTATCAGGGCCCGCCGTTCTATCTCGATTCTGATTTCCTATAGCCTTTCCAACCTCGTTAAGAGTTAGAGGAGTTACATCGATTCGCCATTCAAGTTGACTGGAGATCGTGGGCAACCGAAGTATATCTGGGGGCCAGTTGAACGGAACCCTCAAGTGTTCTGTCAATCGACACAGTCTTCTGGATTGAGAATGAATGATACAGCCATCCTTTTTCGAGATAATCCCACCTACAGTCGGATTCCTAGTTCCGGTTTCCTTGATAATCCCGAATAGTTATCTACTGTTACTTATCATTGCTACCTTTTCCATCTCTCGCTTCCGCTACCCACCATTGTTCGTCATCATTGCGTAAGCTCCTTATAAGCCTGCGCTTAAGCAGACTACAATCTTCGTCATGTTCAGACGGGATGAGTTTCCGAGTGTGTTAGTTCAATAGATGCTAGTGAAATCCACTGTTTCTCCTTAAGCTTTCGGGATAACTTAGTGGCAGATATCACTGCTGTTTCCACAGCTTTTTGAATATCATTTCAAGCTGCCTCAAGTTAGGCATCACTCATGTGGCTGCTGCTGAGTTTTTCTAGTTGCTCCTGAAATATATACTTAGCTTTGCTATATTTAAGTAGAACTTGAAGGGGTTTCCTTGCAGTGCTCTTCTCACGTCCTGTAAGACTCAGACAAATGCGTACTCGTACCTAATTATGATCTGAATCTCAACATCTGCTCCAGAATGGGCCGCAGTCCTCCATCGATCCTCTCAATCGGTGGATGACAGCAATGTGGCCTAGTTGGATCCCTCGTTGTGTCGATTTCGAGGAGTGTTTTTTCTCATACTTGAAGTCAGTAATAGCATCTTTCTGGGCTCATCAGCGGAAGTGGGCGGTTGCCATTTTCTGTTTTTCAGTCACTGCACAATGATGCCCACCCAGTTATCTTCCCTTTTTCGCTAAATCTACCTACTGGTGAATTAATTTAACCGGCAACCTTTACTATATCACAGCCCGTATGGTTTTGCAGGAGGCACGAAAGCCCTCTTTAAAACTCACCTTTTGCTTTATTTTGGTCGCAATCATTGGGTGTGTAGGCTGACAAAACGAAAAGCTTCTTAAAATGAACTGAGATGCAATTTGTTGGGTGTGTCTAACTGAGCGTCTTCTGTTTTTGGTATGTCGAGGAAAAACAAAACGATTTGTTCATTTTTTACTGAGGAATGCAATAGAGAATATGTGCTTGAGTCGTTAGCCTGGATGATGGTGAGTCGTTTGTAGAAGGGGTCGCATTATAAGTACGCATCAATGTTAAATGACTAAGTTTTCTGAATATGCTACGAGTCAGAGGCACTCAGTTAGGTGCAAACTCGGTCAGATCACATTTCAACTAATTGTACAATGCATATTTAATGGCCAGTCAGCTTAAATATCATACAACACGTTTTTCACCTAAAGTTAATGTGTATTTTCTTATGCAACCATTATCTACTTCTTTCTTATCTGTTTTGTGAACATCATGACGAGCACATCTTAAACACCAGCATAGCTTTGTTCTACATTGGTAAGTACATCCCAAAGATTAATCGTTCAGTAAGCCTCAGACATTGGTGCTGAGACTACTAGTTTACCCAACTCATCTTTGCTGAAAGCGTTTGATCAGGCATTCGCACCGTTGTTTATCTCATGCTTTGAACCCCTTCGCGACTACTAGTCATTTTAAATCAGTCAATTTCTCACACCCCAGCTAAATTCTAAGTATATTTTCGTAGCTCTTCATTAGTGACTTTCGGTTTGACTGGGGTTACGATCCTTGATTAAATAGACAATATGGACGAAAGCATTGTCAAATCCTAAATATTTACCAAATCTTTAATCGCAAAACTAAGAAATGCATCAGTTCATAAACCATATATACAAATGAAACATCAATAATTTTTCAACAAGCTTGACTACATAAATCATTTGAAATAAATACTGGGAGCCTTTTCAAAACCGGGACACATATAAGACCGTTTCACCAGCGCAAAGAAACTGACGAGCTCTCACTTGTTCACTGAAAACGAAATTATTTTTGCACTTCATATTCGTCACAGTTGCTTTCACCTTACCGATTAGTTCGTAAGCTCAACATCAGAAATTCACTTGATGCTTGATTATCTCAATATCGACAATTAAGTGATTCTCGTAAAGTACTGGTGAATCATCGTGAGGGTATGTTCTATTCCAGGGACGACAGTAATGGTATCAGAAGCCGAAGCTTTCAAAAGCGAAGTAAAATCTAAAATTTAGTCTGGTATTGTTGGTAGAAGACTTCGCATTCAAAGTTAGTTTCCTTTCGTTCCATCACCTAGAAAGATCAAAAAATTAATTTTTCATACCTTCTTACAAAGGAACCAAAGCTGATGTTTTAAATACAGGTTTCAGGGAATTTTTCATTTTTAGCAGCTAATTAATAAAGTTTGAAATCACTTAGCTCTTCGTTATTGGAACATAGTCATTGTGGCTTGAATGTGATGTCAATAAGTACGTCAGCTTGGCGCCAGTCTAAACTCAGTTGAGAAGTGATGTGGTTGCCGTTGATTACACTGTTGGCGTTGCCCTTTGTGACCAGTAATGAAGACAAGTCGAAAAATTTACTGGTGCTTTTGGAGAATGTCTATATAAAGGAGACTCATTCCACTTTTTTAAATATGTTAACAAGTAAGCTGACATAAAGTTTTAACATGAATCAGATAGAGGGTATAATTTGACTACAAAACTTGCTGATGAACCATCTATTTCGCTAAAATACCTTGGGGAATATTTATACTCAGGCCTAATAATTTTGGCTCCATCTGTCAGTGGTGCGTCAAATTTAAAATAATAATTTGAGGTACTAGAGTTCGGAGGTGCTATAAACGTCAATGAGATAACCAATTTTGTTGACGATGGAGGCAATCTCGTTGTAGTTGCAGGCCCTAATGTCGGCGAATCTATTAGACAGTTGGGAAGTGAATGCGGGCTAGAGTTTGACGAGGAAAACACTTTTGTTATAGACCACTTCAACTACGACAAAAAAGATGACGGTTCAGTAAGTATTTCATTTTAAACTAATATCCGTAGCACTCTTTAATCAACTTACCTGTCAGTAACCTGGTCAAAAGCAGTGTGATAACTGGAGGGAAAGTTGGTGCACCTCTCTTATATCGTGGAATAGGGTAACTCGATTTCAAAGTCCTAACCATGATAGTATTTCAGCTGATCAAACTAACCCTTTAATCATTGATGTCTTACATGGATCAAAAACTTCTTACAGCTATAATCCAGATAAACCAGTTACAGATTACCCAAATACTGTCGGGATAAACACTCAACTAATAACAGCACTACAAGCAAGAAATAACGCACGGGCATTGTTCATTGGTTCTTTAGATTTTCTATCAAATTCATTCTTTGAATCTACCGTTGAAACAGAGTCTCATAAGTAAGTTTGAGAATGCTTCGTTCCTAGTATACATATTAAATGTTAGGTAACTTCGGCCACTCATGTTTTAAAATTTTGCTTGCAAGGATTTGCTAATCGAGTAAAACACAACATTGTTTTCTAGTATTGCATAAACTATTAACTTATTTGACTGTGTCACTGACCAAGATTTCTTGAGTTCACCTTTCAAACTTAAATGGTATATTCTCTTGTCTTGTCGTCAATACTAGCAATATTCGACCCTGATTTTTTTAACATCTTGTACTACACGTTTGCTCGAGCTGAACGGGTCTTTTCTATGTTGGCATTCCACCAATGGAGTTTGGTTAAACTGCAATATACTAAGTGGTCAGTAAGCCCACTACTTTAAAGTAGCTGGAACCAGTGTTGAGACATTAATTAGAGGTAGGGTGATAGTGCGTTCCAAGTGCCTATCGCCATTCATAGGGTTTTAGAATATTTTGTGCTTTCTTGGTATCACTACGTGGCATGAACACGTCAGCCAACGACTTCTTAGATGACCGGTTCTTCAGCCTTGAGGTGGGTTTTCATCTAGTAACCGAATAACATTTATGAATCTAGATGTCTATCACTGTTCTGGAATATTATTTCGGGTATAAAAATGTTAGTGTTTGATATCATGTGACAAACCGATAGCCACTCTAAAGATTGGATTATCAGTCCAAACTCACTGGTTAATTAACGTCACTAAGGAAATTAACTAGCCGACTAAATAGCCTTTCTATAGCTGTGTACAAAGCATGAAATAAGAAATAAAAGTAGTTTGTTCCGTCTAATAAGTGGTTGAGCGATAAATGCATCCGTTCACTAGTAAATTTGGACCTAATTATAAAGCTTAGTTAATGCCCGACATCAATCAGATGACTTAGGTACTATTCGATTACAAGTGCTTGCGTGATAGTATTTCACTGATGTGACATGCTATAAGCGTCTTATGATGAAAGACTGTCGCGAAACTTTCCGATCGATGGTTCAAAAATTAATGCATTTAGTTATCGGTGAATATGTTTGTATTCCAAAACTTGGTGGAAAAAATGTATGATCATGATTATATCGTTTGTTTCGGACAGTAGGAAATCCGGACGTAAAATACTGCCATGAATGTATGTTGCGCCATGTACTTTATTCAAAGATTGAAATATTTCACATCAGTTTTATGTGCTCATTTGTATATGAATGTTTCATATATTGACCTGTATCCAATGTCGTGTTAGGTCAGCCTGTTTTGAGATAATTATTTTGTACATCTTTTATTTTAAATATCTGTCATCGTACAGGAGTGTTCTTTGTGGTAATCAAATGCTTACTGATAATTTGTTGCGATGGGTTTTGGGTGAGCGTGGTCAGCTACGATATACGTACGTAAAACATCACCGAGTGGGTGAAACTGTTCCACCTAACCAGTATACAATTTTGGATGATGTTATTTACACCATAAAGATAGAAACAAAAGACGATAATGGAAACTGGATTCCTTTCGATGCAGACGATGTTCAGTTGGAGTTTGTGCGAATCGATCCATTTATCAGGAAGAAAATGGAGCACAAAGGTGTGGTTGTCAGTTTGTTTATTATATTGTTGAAACATTCGTAACTTCACTTTTGACATTGATTTACTGTCTGTAGCAAAATATGCAGTTATAAGTTTGTAGTGATCCTCACATTGGATTTTAATTTGATAGGGTAATTGGCAACACGTTGGTGTTGATACTTATGGTACACTTTTACTTGGGAAAATCTGTCCCGTTCATTTAAAGACTATTGATCGTAGACCAAAATTATTTCCTACTTACAAAACTAGAATGTTAGATTTTTTAATTTAAAGACTAACTCTAGTACGAAGGGGCACCTAAATACGCCACACGAATTGTTTATCTCTTGGAGTTGATTCTAGCGGATTTTCATTTACTGCTTTATATATATATATATATATATATATATACCTAACGGTTGTAAACCGTGGCACATGAAGATAAAATATGTATTGGTGGCTAGTGTTCTATAAGAGTTGCCTTCAAGCACTTCTCGCTTACGGCAGAACTATGTTGTTCGCTTCACTTCGGTTAAGTGCATAGTTTTACATAAAGATTCTAAATTAGTTGATTTGGCCATGAATCTTCATCTAATAAAGTAATTCGATTATGTGTTACCGATGCCTCACCTGCCACCTATTCCGATGCAACAACACTGGCTGGCATTGAAAAGTAAGGTTAGGAAAAAACTTATCGACTGAAACAGGAGCATATCATGGGTATGCAAATGCATCGTTGATTTGACCCATACAAAGAAGTGCACGGTTAGAGTTTTGACGTTAGACGTAACTAGTGGTTGGGTCTTACTATTTTATGCTTTTATACCTTTATTTCACTTATTTTTGGATCATATGCCTTGTATTTGATTTCCTACTACCATTGATATTCTTATTCCCACTCACTTGGTATTTATCTTGATAGGTTCCCTAGTTGCGATATTGTGATGTGGAGACCTAGATAACTATACTTGTTCCAGGTGTATATTTGTGACAACAAAAAATCTGGTTGTCAGTGTCTTAGTTTATCTAACCAGCATTATATTTCTAGTCCGGATTTTCTATTTGTTGCATTTTTTGTAGATGGCGAATACAAACTTGTTATGAAATTACCTGATGTGTACGGGGTATTCAAATTTGTAGTTGATTATTATCGCATTGGGTATACACATCTGCTAAGTGTTATACAAGTAAGTTATCAGTTTTCTAGTTTTTTTCCCGCTACACCTCTCCCTCAGTATTCTGGTTTAAACTGTATTTACACTAATATATTTGTTGTTTATCTTACAGGTTCCAGTTCGTCCATTTACTCATACACAATATGAACGATTCCTTGTAGCTGCTTATCCTTATTACACTAGTGCTATATCAATGATGGTTGGCCTAATCTTATTTAGTTTTATATTTTTGTATCTTAAAGATGATAAAGAAAAGGGGGAATAATAAAATACTCAATGACTACACTTTGTGTGTGATATATATATTTGTATGTGTATGTATTTTCGACACTTTATTTTCTTTTGTTAAACACAATTCTACACGTTTGTATCTTGTATGAAAATGAAATCTAACTTTGCTCTTGTATTGTGCAAATTAGGTATTTATTTGTAGCCTGATTTACAATGACTCTTGCTTTGTTCATCTCTGCTATTCATTTTCAAGTTTGTATAATATATTCATGTGTTCTTGAACCAAAGCTTCTATCGTATTGTTTTGAATTGTATCATGTGTGACGTTTTATTTTGTTTTTTCAATAAATACTCTATTTTGACCGAGTGAAATATCTTTGTTGACAAACTAGTTCAATAAATGGCGATTTAGGTCAAAGTAAAAGCACAGAAATCATTGGTATTTCTTTTATGCTTGAAATTTTTTAAGGAAATAAGTCTAACTGTTACGTCGTGTTGTCGTTTACTTATTGTGTGCATTTATTAGTGGTTCTAGCAATTCGGGGATTCCGGCATGAATCAATCTTGGGGGATTAAAAATAATCAACGACTTCTTGTCGGGCAGAGGTTCTGTCTTCAGTTTTAGAATCTCAAGAGATACCGTTTTTACACAGCCTTAAGTAAAGGGTAGCATCAAACAGTTTAAAGGTACTAGCTTTTATTTTTGCTTGAAGTACTCCATTATGAATTATGCAAGAAGGGAATAAAACTTATTTGTGTTTGGTAACTGATAATCATTGCAGGACTTTGAGAGTAAGAATGAATGTGAGCAATTTTCAGAATAGCGGCGACGGAGTGGCTTTCTCAGATCAGAGTAATAAGCGGCAAATATGCCTAACATTTTATCATCTGTGAACTTTCAACACAACTTAAGCTCTTGAGATTTTAATTCAAAATATATCGGCGGATGCTGATTATGCTTACAAAGTGCTGGCCCGCTCTATCCTCGGTCTGTAACCGTAATCGCTAGCCTATACCCCTTTACCTATCGTATTTCAGTTTGCTGTGATAAGATATCCAACGTGAGAAGGTTGGCCGACACCAATGCTATCTGTCTATTATAATATTATTCTTTTGTAACTAAACACTTGTGATTGATCGCTAAGTCACTTAAGGTCATCCGTATACTTTACTCTCGCTGGGTAGTTAACGCTGTGTGATCTTACAGTTCTCTGTTATCCAATCAAATTAAGAAATCGCAAACGGTTGTCGTCAGGTTTCAGAAAATAGTTTGGGAATTTAATCTCAGATACGTTTATACTATCATCGTTACATTTGAAAATGATAGTGAAGCTAGCTGATTTCGCAAACTGACAAATCACGAGCGAGACAGATCAGTCTTTCAGAATATGATTTCTTCGTTTAATTTTGCAGTCCTATTTAGTTGTAATGCCCACCAGTCTGATTTTCTAGCAAATTTAACACAATTATTTCTAGTTCATTGGTAAAGTTTGAGTTAAAAATTTTCCTGAAAAGTAGTTTAGTATATTAGTGATGTTAATCAGTCCTGAAATTTGGGATCCAACCCGATTGTAACAACACTAAGCAGCTGCTTTTTCTTGAGACTTCTGACGTTACACAATTACAGATTAAGTGGTTCAATCCAGGTTGTTTATTTTAAGTGAAAATGAATATTAAAGACCGAATACTATACCAAGTTATCTAGGTTGAATTTGTACGATGAGATATTTTCAGCTGTATAATTTGGTAGTATTGATAATGTCGTCAAGTCGGAATCAGAGTGATATTTCAAAAAGATACAAGTTTGCACCTAAAATACCACTGTGTTTGGAGTCCTGATATGTAGAAGTTTGTCACAGTAGATGGGCTATTGTAACTCTCTCGTAGGGCGTGTAAATCTTTCTGACCTCGGAAAATAATGCAATGTATTCACAACGAGGTTTGTGAGATACTTGTCATGCTTCCTAGATGTTTTGGTACTTGATCAGGAAAGTGTTGTGTTATTAGCTAGTCCACTTCCAGTTGTCTTGAAGAGCATTTTATCGTTATTCATTTTATTTTATACTTGGAAAATTAGCATTATATTTTGTTATGGTTGGAAGATGTTGACACTCGAGTGTTGTAACATTTAGTCAGATCGTCACACTTGTTGAAGTTTTGAGTCATTGTCGTACCATTTCGATTAAATATTTTCTGTGCACGATGGCGTTAAGCTCTTAATCTATACCTGTATACTCAAGCAGTTACCCATCGATTAGCTTCTCGGATTTATTTCAGTTTGTAAAGGACAGAAGGCTGAGCGGCTTGCGTTAATTTGAGCACCTTCGATCTCCCAGTTGACCCAACTTTCTCTTGAATGCATATACAGATGGAGTATCAATCACGTGTTGAATTAACGAGTTCTGTACGTTGACGATTCGACAGGAAATTTGGTAGATTTGGCTTGAAAAGGAACAAAAACTCCAAGAATACTGGCCATGTTCACAATTCCCCGAATGTCAATGGAGATGGGTTAAGTAGGAACAAGTTACCAGATTCATTTACAAGCCTCAAATTAATGTGTGTGCATGGCGGACTTTATAGACAGGAAATAGTATATTAACCTGTTTTGTATTTCCCAAATTTCTGCTATGCTCTTACTCAGCTGGAGTACCAGTTTTACTCCAAAGAATCCATCCTAACCCTATCGTTCGGTAGATCGTTTTTATTTCGAGCTTAAGAGTAATTAGTAGTAAACAGTGGTTTAGCCCCGTCTTACTATTTAGATGTCATGGTGTTCGTGTTTACTCCTGCTTCTGAATATTTTAACAATAATCTTTTCTCGGATAACAACGCGTTGATCAGGCATGTCAGTTTACAGACAAGGTCAAGATGCTAATATTACTAACATGTTTAACCTAAAAGGTTGTTCTGTGTGATGAATACGTAGAAAGATACTTTGGCTTTTAATAGAGAGCTAATACTTCTCACATAAAATCGTAAATTCTTCAGACTCTAGTGTGTACAAAAGAATAGTTGAGTTGAGTCATGTTGGTTGATATGCGACGAACAACTGCTAGTTGGAAATTAATGCAAGTGAATTCCAGGGCTTCATATAAAAAATTGATGACGTAAATGTTTATTAGTCTTGTTGTTGAGTTTCGCTAGATAAGTATCGTTTGAGTCATTGCTTTTCGCCGACGATGTTAAACTATGGAGAGAATTACGCAGCAAAGATGATAAGCTGGTGCTTCAGGATAGTCTAAATGGACCTCGATGTTGGGCGAATAATGGCGCACTTACTTTCAAAAATTTGTTGTGTGCGAATCCAGATACCGGACTGACTATGCTCACCACTAAATGTTTCATATCCCGTCATGATTAAAAACAAAATAAATCCATATTCCAAGGTTTTATTGAAGGAGAACGTTGGCATTACATGGGGAGCAGCAAATATAGAAAAATGGCAGCAACGCGATGAGAACGTTTGTGCGCAAGAAGTCGTAGCAGTGTTTTTGGTACAGTTAAACAAAAGATGTAAAATAATGTTTATTTTTCACAAATCGTATTTTCTTCGTAGCAGCATTCCACTACAGCAGCCCCCGCCTGGAAAGGGTTCACACTTTCGATACATAGCGGCTGCGTTCGCGGGGGGGGGGGGGGCTGGTCGGCCAACATTTGGTTGTAGTGCGGAAGGGTTGACGAACAGGAAGAGACTAATGAAGCTCGTGTTGTCACCGATAGTCTTCTACGTTGAACTGTACCAGTAGTAACGTGCTAGGTTTGCTGCTCAAGTTGATGTGCCAAGTTTGTCTATCGGATTGGCATGCCACACCAGCGTGGCTCGTATCCAGGGTCTGAAGTTTACGTTCGTAGGCGTTCGGGCCAGATAAAGCTGCAGACGTAGGACGGAACCAGGAACGACCAATGCGAAACCATTCGTATACCAGATATATTCGTAACAAGAAAATCGACTGAGTGCATTGACAAGAGCGTGGGTGATCAGGCCGGCTTTCGCCAAGGTTGACTGAAGTCGACGGTACCAACAGGGCAATGGTCGGAGGTATAGGCTCGGGATAAAAAAAATCAAAGAAAAAGAGAAAAGTGTAGCATGCATGTAGTATGAGGGTAAAATCCTATGCCGCACCCGTGGTTGATTGGTAGTTAGTCGAGAAAGCGTACAGGTAGGCGTACGCGACGGGAACGCGAGACAGTAGCCTCATGCGCACCTCGTGAGCCTGCATTCTCATCCTCAGTCAAGTGCGGCGTGGTCTGCTGATCTGGACGTGAGATCACAGTCTCACCCGTAGATAGTACAGATGGCGCGTGCTGCTGACTGGGACGTGAGAAGGAGGTCTTTGATTTCGCGAGCGTGGGATCAGAAGGAAAAATAAGGATCCCGCTAGTGAGTTGGAAGAGTCCAACATTCAATCTCGATTTACCAAGTAGAGCACTGCCACTGACGTGCGCTGGAATGAGACGATCAATGCTGACTGTGTCCATCAAACTTGAAGGTTTTTTCGTGACGAGAGATCACGTGAAATGATCCTTCGTAAGGTTGTTGAGTACCGAATCTACCAGTAAGAAAACTTGCGGACAGGTAAATAACTCTCGAGGGAGAGCTGCCTGTCGATGTTATATTCGAGTTCACACCGGAGGCAGTATTCGCATCTACTCAGATAGTCGTCGGACGTTATCTGATATACATAAGATCGCTGCTCCGTGGTGTGAAAAAATTCCTCAGGCAGATTCAATGTCGTGCCGTATACAAGTTCTGAGGCAGAACACTGGATATCTGCCATTGCTGTTCCGTAATCGCCATGTCGTCTCCAACAAATTCCATCTTTCTGCGAACCGAGTGGAGTCTTAAGGACTTTGGGAAAGACGAAGTAATACATATAGCAAGTAAACTGTCAAACTCACGCTTAGCGAAAACTAAGTTGTCCAGTGCCAGTCGGCGAGGTTTTGCCGTGTCTGGGGGTCTTCAGGTGACGATGTGGCTTACCACATAATTAATCACCAGTTAAATCTCCTCGGTTTCGTTACTTTGGGGAATTTATCGAATATAACATGAAATACATAGTAATGAGAAAAAATTCGGTACATATCTGTTTGCGCGTTAAAAACCATGGATTTGATATTCGACGAAGTATCGAATAACGCAGCCTACGTGAATCGAATAGCAATTCATAGTGGTGTAAGGGATCGATAACGAGTATGGCTATGGGAACATCAGAAAGAATGACCGTCTATAGATACTGTCGTCGGTTATTCAGGTTGGTAGTTAGCTGTCGTGTACCCCAGGTAGGAATGACAGAGCCATCCGCAGTGCGTGGTCGAAGCATCGTAGCTTATGACTTACTGCTACAAAACGATACGACAGAAACTTGGGCACTTGTGGCCATCAAGTACCTAGCGTTAGTGCAAAAATCGAGCACGTAAAATAAACTAACAACCTGAAGTGACGGGGAGGAGACACGTGAGATTGCAATGACCTACACCTCGGAGTCTATTATTATAGCTATCTACCATTTCGAAAGTTTGTTGCAAGTATAATATATATTAAAGACATTAATAATAGTATTGCGACATTATAAAAATGGTGATAGATGAATAACAGACTCGCCGTAATTGACTTTAAAAGAAACGTCAGTTTCACCAATTGTAGTGAGCGAGTCCGATGACGTAAATGTTTATTAGTCTTGTTGTTGAGTTTCGCTAGATAAGTATCGTTTGAGTCATTGCTTTTCGCCGACGATGTTAAACTATGGAGAGAATTTCGCAGCAAAGATGATAAGCTGGTCCTTCAGGATAGTCTAAATGGACCTCGATGTTGGGCGAATAATGGCGCACTTACTTTCAAAACTTCAACGTACAAAGTAGTCCATCTGAGACAGTGTGGACTGTGTATGATAATTAGGTAACTCACCGTCAGAGGTGCCCCAAGTTGAAAAATTTCCGAGAGTTTTGGCACCCTACGGTTTAAAGTCTTACTCTAACTGTGTAAACCTTTCAATAATAACGTTAAAGCGCATTTTTTGTTGGTTTAATGGTGGAAGACTACACACATTCTTTGACAGATTAACTCAACCCCATATAGAATATGGAAATATAGTGCTATTTGCTGCCTCACTCCGAAAGGATAAGAATACATTTGAACGTACCTGCAACCTCAGTTTGACCACTGAAATCCAAACCTCATGAAGAGTGCCTCAAGTCGCTGGATTCTTACCCGTTAGAGCCAAAGCGTTTTGGAGGCAACCTTCTAATTACTCACTAGGTTCCAAGCACTTCCTAAAGCACCTAGTTGAGCTCAGTCTCAACACAAACTGAGTTCTAAAAACTATAGGCACTACAGCAGAATGGACTGTAAGCACGCCTTTTACTCTCTACGGATAGTCGAATTCTGAAATTAGCAACTGGTCCAAGCGACTTACTTGAAGTCTTTCCAGAAGAAACGTGACCTATTCTTAACGACTCAGAACAGTGTTTTATTATAATTTACTAATACTTGTCTTTTACTCTTTAAATATACCTAGATTACAACGTGGTGGTATAGTTGTTCCACCATCACTAGATATGGAAGTCCATAAATTTAGAGCTTCTATTCTGTTCACAACCGTTTGAACCAGCTTATACGTAGTTTTTGACACTCACGTCGTAATTGGCGCAACCTATGAATTCTTTGACTTCCAGAGCTCACTCACCCTCTGTCTATCGTGTTATCGCGCAGTCTTTCTTTCGGGTAAACCCAAGTATATAGTTCAGTTGTTATTACGTTGGCATCTTGCGATTCCAAAAGTAGAAAAATCAGTTGAAAATGGATTGTTGTTTGAATCGTATAGTTATCATTAAAATTGATGTTCGAACTGAGCCATATAGTCCCTTATATGTAAAACTCTCCCAGCCAGTGTGGAAAATAGCTATTTAATAGACGGCCTTGACAAGTGATCAGGTATTCATGTATTCAGTTTTCAACTATACTCGTCTGGAATAGCTGTCACATGCCTAGTAGGATAAGACGCTTTTATGCAGTCTTATTTTCTCTAACCGACCGGATAACGTGACACATACAGGTTCCACTAGATTTGATGTGTATGGATTCATTCATAAAAAATATACCAATCCCCTAGTAAACATCGGGTTCATTGGGTCCAGTGCGGTAGAATAGACCATTGTGACTGGACTCCCAATAACCTGGAACTGTCAACAGATTAGCCCAAGGAAATTAGTCAGTTTGCAGTAGCTTGTTAGTACAGAATCAAATACATATCGAATATTGAAAGTTTCTACCAAATTGTATGGTCTCCTTATATTTGCTTGTTAGTAATCGGGATTAAGTAATCTACCTCTCTTGCGCTTTCTTCTTGCCATTGAATGTAATCATCACGATTTATATCACTACGCCGGGCGCAGTGCGTTGCGCTGACATGTGCACGCTTTGATTGTTTGTAGTCCATGATCCATTTGTGGTAAAATTATCTTAGAATTATAGGTTGATTATGCATATTTTCTACATAACGACATGTATATGATCAACTAAAGCATGGTTATGTAATAGAAGTAATAGAAGTTCGTTAAGTTCATTTGTCGATTCTCTATAGGGAATTTCAGTTAATTTATCATTCCTGTCGTTAATTTGATTTCTTCACAGGAGTTACTGTAGAAATGTCTTTAGAATATTACTTGATGGCATACTCTCTTTTAATTTTGAATAAATATCAGGTTTATATTCTTATTAATGTCCTGGCATTTTAGGTGAGTATTATGGGATACTCAAGATATCTTCAAATCTTTAGTAGACACTTTGTAGGAAGGTGTGTCATACGTCATCTATAATGATAGCACTCACATCGTTTCTGGTGTATATTATGAACAACTTAGTAATATTAGTCGTATACCTGTTCCAACTAAAATCAATAAGTTCAACCACTGGATTTGTTGGTAAACTTCTTGGCTCTCTGCATGGATTGAACCAATCAGTTATTTTACTCCCTTTCTTTTTAAAGCTCCTTAGCTTTCTCGTTTTCTTATCACCCTCCATATGTCAATAATGTTAACTAATTGAGTCACTGCTTGTTAATGTGGATGGCAGAAGAGACTTTAGGTAATGTGGCTGGAATTATTCAGGTGTTAAAAATTGGTGATTAGAAATACTAGGTAACACGTTTCAGTATCTAATACTGAAATGCACATTTATTCATTCTTTTACCTATTGTATCCGCTTGGGGTTGTTTGTAACTCTATGTATCCGATCATTTGTAATAATACTTAGGTCCGGTTTTTGTTAATTAGTGAGTTGCATGTAATCTAACATGTGGTATATATATGTGTAAGATATGATATAAATAAATTTTTATTATCAAGACCAACTTTCGGTAATTGTATTCTCACAATAAAAAGGTTGTGGTTATTTGGTTTTTGAATATATTATGCAATACTTTTTTTTATGTTTTAAGTAATCACTAATTATCTATTGATTTTAGTATGCAGAGCTTTTTCTAGACGTTGCTAAAACTCCTATATCATGCTAATAATAATTAATGTGGCTGCTAAACCTACTGATGAAAACTAATTGATTTCAACCTAAATAGGAGACATTCTTTGTATTTATAGATTTATGCTTTCATAAATTGTGTACATTCTTGTACGCATGTCTGCATACATCTATTTAACATTCTTGTTTTATACTTTTAAATTTCAGATTTATAATATAGCTAATATGTTATACTCATCTAGTTTGTGCATTTTATATGGAATAGTGTTTTATTAGATTTTGAGGAATACTTATTGTTCATATATCTCACAAGAAATGGGATCCCACTTTGGTGTAGTGCAACCGATTTTCACGGGTAAGATGCACATAGAATTCATTCTATTCTGTTATCAGTTTAATTGTATAAATATTCATCCATAGTCTGTGATAAGGCGGCAGTTATTCCCCAATATTTTCATTTTAACAGTATAAGTTAACTTGGAAAAATACAAAATCCTTAAAAATCAAGTTAACATCAAACTTTTATCACTGTAACAAATTGTTTAGATGTTTGATTATTACCTAATAGATCCTTGAATGGAAGTAGGAATTACTTAATTTCGGAAGAATAACGATAGTTCCACAACGTGAACATTCAGTCAGAGAACGAAGCACCACCATAATTATCCACCTGAGATACAAATTTTCTCCACCCTCTCAAAGACTTAGGTATTCTGTTTAACCTCTGTCATGTTCCAAGTTTATGAAGAGTTAACACGTTTAACCCTAAGTTTTCTCTGACACCGAAATTGACCACTTTTGATTGCTGTTAAGTGAAACCAGTTAACTCTGCGCTAGTAATAATGACCAATGACTAGTTTGACTTTCACAAGTCCACTGACTAAAATGAGGTCACAAAATAAATTAGTTTCATAATTTCCACTTTAGTCTAAACAAACTTGTCAGAATTTTATAATTACACATCTTAGAAACATCCTCGGTTTTGATATTTTTAAATGTTCCTCAAAATAAAACGTGGCACCAATCCACCAAGTCATTGTGTATTGATCTGATCCATATTGGTAGATACAGATTACCTGATTGGGATTAGTATGGTAGTTACGATTAGAGGTTGGAAACTTGGGATGATATTATCTTAGAATCGTTAACAATGGAACAGATGCATATCCACTATTTATATTCCTCTCAGTTTGAAATGACACTTTTCCTTCATGCATACGTTTATAATCTGTCCGCTTAAACCATATCCCCGAGATGTAGTCTTTGTTTTTATGGTTACTATTGTACTCGATCCTTTTTCTTAGTTCAACTTCGTACTAATTAGGTATGGAAACTTAAGCCAACGCAGGCTTATCTGTGTCAGATTCCATGTTAGTAATGTTTATCTTGGAAAACACTTTTTTTCTCTTTTCAGATTTCTATGAATTAACAATGTCTTATGCTTATTGGAAAGCTGGAAAAGCCAATGACACTGCAGTTTTTGAACTATTTTTTCGTAAAAATCCTTTTAATGGAGAATTCACTATATTTGCCGGTCTTCAAGATTGTATTGATTATCTAAGTTCGTTCAAATTCACTCAAGATGGTAGGTGAAATGGGTTTTACTGAAGTACACTAAAATTTTGTATATTATATTATCATTTATTGGAATAAATTTGATTTACGAATTATGGCGTCTGATTTTTATCTGTTGCCTATTCGATATTGACGGAAGTACTGTAATAGACTAAAAATCTAAAAATAATATATTGATGGTAACTCGGTTCACCAACCGGATATATATATATATATATATATATATATATATATATATATATATATATGCTATCTTTGTTGAACTTTTATCCCATTTTGTTAGACAATCAGCGAATCGACTTATTTAATGTACCACTTAGTTAGATATAGAAACAATTGGATAGTAACTCAGTAGTCTGGAGGTTAAACGCTCGCTTGTCACTAGACTCTGAAATCTTCTGCATTACGGGGTTGTGAAGATTGTTAAGTTACACATTTTTGAAACCATGAATCGATCAATGTTAGACCACCATTAGAAACCTGGAAGCACTGGACGGCCGTTTCGTCCTGATATGGGACTCCTCAGCAGTGCGCATCCACGACTCCTGCACCCCGCAGGATTCGAACCCAGGACCTTCGGTATTGTGCGCGAACGCCCTAACCGATAGACCACTGAGCCGGTATCTAACGATGTTAATGTCTAACTTGATCATATTCACGGAGTTGCGCAACCTCATACACAGTCTTCGGTAGTTACTGTCTACACCCGAACAGGTTGAACTTCACTGGTCACGTCTTCCCACTAGAACTCGGAGAAGATTCCTCACGAAGCTAGTCACTAGTGAGCACAGGTAATTTGCATTACGGGGTTGTGAAGATTGTTAAGTTACACATTTTTGAAACCATGAATCGATCAATGTTAGACATTAACACCGTTAGATACCGGCTCAGTGGTCTATCGGTTAGGGCGTTCGCGCACAATACCGAAGGTCCTGGGTTCGAATCCTGCGGGGTGCAGGAGTCGTGGATGCGCACTGCTGAGGAGTCTGAAATCTTCTGTTTGATCTCCAGTGGTGTAGTGGCAGAGAATTGCGAAAGAGTTCCATACTAAGAACAAATCTAACTTAGATCATTCTGCACTATAAACTACAGAACTCAATAATTTCTACAAATCCTTTATGTTTGCCAAACTACTATGTTAAATATTGATTTATCATTTTTTTTCTGAAAAGTATATTATTATATCATTAATGTCGCCTAATTAACTTTAAATCTCACCTAATTTTTTACTTTATTTTTCTAAATAACACTATTAGATGTTGAATATTTACGAAAAATTATGCCATCAACTGTTGATCCTAATTTCTTTGATTATCTACTTAATATTGATACAAATGGTTTATCATTATGGTCTGTTAGAGAATGTTCAGTTGTTTTTCCAAAAGTTCCTATTATGCGAATTGAAGGCTCAGTAGTTTTGTGTCAACTTGTCGAGTCAACATTATTGAATTTGGTTAATTATGCAAGGTAGTTAAGAGATTAGTGTATTTTTTTTACTAATTATTATTTCATTGGTATTATTAACTCATGTAGCTAATGTGTCGATTGTATAGTTATATACTTTACTTTGATCTATGCATTTTGATACTATCAGTGTATATAGACCCTAGTCAGACAGTCATAATCATCATAAAGTCTGGTATATATTTTGGTCGTCCCAAGTTACTCTATCATGTTAACATGGTGAAATGAAGTTCATACGATGAATAACAAAATAATCAAAATTATATAGCAATGTTAATGATTATGGCGGAACATTACGACTATATACTTCAAACAGTCGAAACGATAGAGTGTGTATAAAGAAACAATCGAGTTGAAAATGTAAACGAACGTAAAGAGTAAACTCTTAAGCTCTGAGCCATAATTACCCAGCGTATAGAACAATTAATCATGATAATTATGCGCATAAGTGGTTTGTGTTTATCAACATGGTTCAATCCATTAATTAATAGCTATATGAATTGATACTGTGGTGCGAGCTACTTATAAGTAGTATATGACGTGAGTGTCAACGTAATGTCTGGCAGCAGAAGATGGGGAAAGATCAAGAAAGGAAGAGTTAGAATACAATGGAATTTGTATGAAACGCATGAATAGTGACAATGGATTAATGTTGTTTGCAACAGGAACAGTCCAGTTCGATATGATGGACTGATATTTTGCAAATTAACGATTTACGATATGGTTTTCCTATTTTACTGAGTAACTCTGTAATTTTCATTAAATACAATTCGGTTGCCCTCACCTGTGTACTCCTTCACTACAATACCACTCTTTAGTTTGGTCAAATCAAATAACAAAGTAAAATGGAATTTTGATATCCCACATAATAGTAACTGAATATTGAACACATTAAATTACCATTAACCACTCATTGCAGTATTTTCGAGCACATGATGTTTTGTCAGTTTTAAATAATCTTTACGATTGGTTTAAAAAATATTCAGATCATTTCGTAACTTGTCATAGTTAGATTATAAAAAACAGTTGTTTATATAGGTTTATGTATGTGGATATTAGTTCGATTCAACGTGTTATAAATCTCTCTTAGTAAACCCAGCTATTGCCATTGCTTAGTATTCTCTGATAACAATACACTCGACAAGTCCTCAAATCAGAACACGGTTGAACAGGAAAAAGATTATATTCCAATTAGAAAGGCTAAATGGAAGTATGAAGACGAAGCGAAGGTGAAATAGGAACAACGTTAGCATCTTTATATCTTTTATATGAGAATTTTCTAGAATGCTCTGCAAGTATCGACCAGCACTGATTGGATAGGAATTAGCCGATCGGCGCGCAACTAACGCAGTCATATGTTAATCCATCTATGTCTCGCTAACACAACGATAATTAATTTATAGGACTAATATAAGCTAGATAATCATCGAAATTGAGGTAATCTATATCTTAATTGTACTCGCGGTGTCTTTAAACTAATCACAGAAAACAAGCACAAGTATTAACGCGATATAATTATGATGAACAGAAACAGATTTCATAGTTTACTTTAGAAACTGACTTTAAGTGAATAACCATTCAAAATCTAGAGGCTTCGGATAGCTGTTTCGCCAAGGTATTGGAATACTCGTTAGTGACCGGCGGAGTTGAATCATGCGGGATGGTTAGCTGTGAACTGATTGGAAAGTGGTTGCGCAGTTTAGCTAATCGATTGAAGCCAGAAGTTTTAACCATCGGATCAACATGCAAAATACAAAGCTCCCACTGTGAGACCTGAGGGTCCTAAGTTGGATTCCGTGTGCTAGTGGTGGTGTTATTGAGAAGATGCCCTGACTATTTGTCTGACTGAGGTCAGTTAGTGCCTTAAATCACAAAGCTCAACAATTCCTATAAACTCCCCTTGCATTAGTGAAAATGGGTTAGTTAGCTGTAACAACTAAGCGTTACTGCTTTTGTTTTGACTGGATCAAGCCACATAAAAAGATATTATACGGTCTATTTTCTGTTTTTAATATTTGAGCTAATTACTCTATTCTTCAACCAGAATGAAACCTATTGTAAATAAGTGTTTACTCAAACTGCATTATACTACAATTTTAAAATTGTTAAGTTCTAAACTCTAATTCCAATATTACTGTGTTGTAGCTTTTAAGTATTCTACTTATTATGCATATACGTATATTTTTATTTGAAGCTTAATGACTACCAATGCTGCACGTTATCGTTTAGCTTGTGGTCCAAATAAGAAATTATATGAATTCGGTTTACGTCGTGCTCAAGGACCAGATGGTGCATTGTCAGCTTCAAAATATGCATATTTAGGAGGTATGGATTATTTATCATCGTTATTAATATCATTATTGATATTACTACTTTTTTTGAAACCATGAATCGATCAATGTTAGACCACTATTAGAAACCGGGAAGCACTGGACGGCCGTTTCGTCCTGGTATGGGACTCCTCAGCAGTGCGTATCCACTACTCCTGCACCCCACAGGTTTCAAAAAAACTTAACAATCTTCACAACAACCCCGTAATGCAGATTATTATTATTATTGTCTTAAATGTTATACTAGTTCTACATTGTTTATTCCACTTTTAAAGATGGTTTTTTCGATGTTCTTAGCATTCATAGCATCTAAATATAAAATAATAACTCATTAACTTATAAGTTATTTAGGACAATATTTGCATAACAGAAAAGAAAATCAATAGTCAAGTATACAAATTTGTATGCGCCAAGCTTTAAGTTTTATAAAGTTAGTTTGCCTTAAACGAAAGTAGACTTCCAACATGTTTCTACTATTATATTTGATCATAGTTGTTTTCAGTTAAATAATGTCGGCATAACATCAATAGAATTTTATCCACATTGAATAATAATAATAATAATAATAATAATAACGGTGACACAATGATGTTTACTTTTTTAATGATTACTTAATGTATGCGTCACATTTATCGATGTTATGGTGAATATTGGACAATTTATATGCATCAGTTGTTATATCCTTAAGTTTATTAACCAACTTCATAACAAATTAAATAGCTAATAATCGATTAAGAACACTATATCGTTTCGTATGAATAGTTTGTTCAAAGAAGAGGACCGTTTTTTTAAATAGTGAAATCGATTACATTTGTTAGGATATTCATCCAATATCTTATGAGGATTATTTTTGTAAGTCTAATTCTATTGGTCAATTCCTACTGGTTAATATTATGGTCGTCCTAACTATCACTGTCACATACTTCAATGTTGTTTCCTATTCGACCTAAATGTATAAATATGCATTATCTGTAACGTTTTATGACCGGGATCCTGATTCTCTTCTGGACTCGGACCTCGTACTTTCTGGATGCTTGTAGAATACATGTTCTACTTCATATCAAGTCTTCTTCTTTTATTCAATGGGGGGTTTGGGACGTTCGGATTAGAGTAGCCTGTCGTGTCGCCGGATCCTCGATCCTCGCTCTCGTTTACTGACTAAGGTAAGCTCGTAATAGTTCAAGTATATCAAGTTGACGTGTTTACGTGCTTTCGTAACAACATTACACATGGTTAGTTAAGTAAGGTAATATGATGTCTAAATAGTTACAAGAGAAAAAAGACTTTGACTTTTCTTAATTTCGTAATATTAATCAATATTTTATTAAACCTACTGTTTCTTTTGATATTTTTGTGTTTTTTTTATTATTTATTTACGATAGGTTGTGATGGAACTAGTAATGTTCTAGCTGGGAAAATGTATGGAATTCCAGTTGTTGGAACACATGCACATTCGTTTGTGTCAGCGTTTCAAGTTACTCGTGTAAGTAGTACGTCTATGTTAACACAGTTATATATATATGAAAATAAATTGTATTTCAGAATAATATCATGAATGATTTGTTCTACTATTCAGAAGCAAAGATGAAACAACACAGTGCTCATTTTAAATATGTGATCTATAAAATAGTAGTAGAGCTACTTTGAGATGTTTCCTTTTCATCCTGATCGGTGGCTTGTAGCACATTGATACATTGTTCGTTCCTTTTCTAGCTCAAAGTATGTATGAACTACCAGTATTGAATTAAAGCTCTGTAGCGTGTCGAGTTGAGATTGACTATGATCACCACTACAGGCCAATTGCCTACCAATTACCAGGTTAGATCCCTCCGTATAATAAATATTAGGACAGTTGAAGACTGTAGTTATGATTTATTTGTTGGTGATCTCGTGGTATTAAAATAATACCGAGATTGTGCCAAAGTTTACAGGCTAGACTACCATACGTACGTGAGCAAGGTCAGGGTCACAGGAAACGGGAAATGTATGTTTTTTGTATCATTAAACGAAAAGGTACAGTAAAACAATCACTGGTACAATTAGTTATAATAATCAATGTTTCCATCACACCAATCGTGCTCTATTCATAAAAGTAGATCACTACGGCTCTTTCATCAGTTTATCGGTTTAAGTAAAGCAACAAAACTAACTTACTCGATATAAGTTCCTACCTTACTTTCTTGTTTTCTCAATTTTACTATGAAAAATCATTGTTATTTGAGGATACGAAGTAAGATTATCTTGTTGACGGTAAGAGTATTTGGGTAAAAAAAATGTATATCACGTTTCCTTTCACCTGTAACATTAACACTTTGTATGTAAATTCTGTCTGATTCATGTTAAAGTTAATTGCTTTATGCTAAAATTTAGATTGTGAATATATATATATATATATATATATATATATATATATATATAAAGAATACAGTCAATGTTTATCTCTTTATTGTGACTTCAATTCATTGTCTATCATTTCAGACATTTAGCGGTTAATACATTAGTTTTGCGTTGTGAGTTACAATAGTTATTTCCTGTACGCTTAGTCAGTCAGTCATTCAGTCAGCCACAACGTAGAACTTGGTACGTACGTTAGCACAGGCAGATTGAATTGTCAATTCAATTCCCATGATAGTAGACGTAGTAGAAATATTAATAGTAATGGAGATTTCTTGTAAAATAGAATTATTTATGTACTTCATGGCTGTGAAACATGGCCAGTGAGAGTAGATATTCGTCGGTTATTGGTTTTCGATCATCGGTGTCTTCGAAGCATTGCTCGTATATCCTGGGACACCCGAGTGAGCAACGCTGTTATCAGGAAACGGGTGCTAGGTAAGAATGGCAGATCAATAGATGAAGTGCTGAAACTTCATCAGTTGAGATGGTTGGGACATGTGCTGCGTATGCCTAACCACCGACTGCCTCGACGAGCTTTGTTTTGTAGTGTAGGAGTAGGTTGGAAGAAAGCTAGGGGCGGCCAAACCAAAACATGGCACAAATCCATGAAGTCGTTGACGAGTGGACTTAGCCATGTCGGTAGTTGTCGACTACTTGGTTGGGGTCCACGAGATGAAAGTAGTCGATAGTTAGAGACCCTGAATGATATGGTTAAAAATCGTTCGCAATGGCGCCGGTGTATTTATTCTTTGTGTTCTCTCAAATCTTAATCTTCTGGATTCTTCAATCCCTCTAGTTTCGACTTTCTAAACTTTTCTCACTGAATCATATTTCTTGAATATCTTCTAATCCTAACCTCTCCAATTACTTCTACTACCTTTACTACCTCTACTACCATTGGATTTGAATTTACAATTATATCTCTGTGCTGATATGGTATGGCAACATGAACTGTTGTACTTACGTACAAAGTTCTACGTTGCATCTGACTGACTGACTGATTTATGTATAATTAGACAATGAATAATAATAGTTCTCCCATGATTGTATATTCTTAAACTAAAATTGAAATTTCTTTTCAAAATATTTCTTTTTCTTCTTCTTCTTCTTCTTTAAGGAAGATGAATGTATAAATGATTTTGAAAATTTCACCGGCAAAATGACCAATTTAAACAATTCATATGACAAGCATCTTTTAGATTTAAGTCATCAACCAATGAAATTGAAGGAGTTTTTAAAACGTTGTTGGCATTGGTCAATTAGTTTATCTCATTTATTAAAATATCAATCAGATCAAATACATCCAGGTGAATTAAATGCATTTGCTAATTATGCAATTGCATTTCCAACAAAATTTCTTGGCTTACTTGATACATATGATGTATTAAAGTAGGTTTCTTTTCTTTGTGTGTTATGTAATGCATACGTTGTATTTTCTGAGCTACATAGTTTCATTGCGAAGCTTTGATTATTATTCTAGACAAACTCTTCATAGCCTATTTTATGTAGAAGTAATCTTTCATCAGTTATGTCTCAAGTGTTATATCACATCATCTTGCCGGCTCTGTTTGTTGTTGGCTATCTTTGTAAGTTTCCTTTGGTCTTCGTTTACCATCCTATTCATGCTTAGTTGTTTTTCGGCCTCTAAACTCTTTGTGGGTCCATACTGTGTCGATGTGTCTGTTGACTGCTAATTAAACGGAATGCCATACTTCTAAGAAGTCCTCTAGCATTGTTGGGCTTTCCCTGTTTCAAAACTTTGTCTTTTATGGGGAGGGTTCGATAATTCTCCGGGGAATATTTCAAAATCAAGGGAGATCTGAAAATAATTCCATCAGTCAAGGTCCTTTAGAAACTTCCAAAAGAATTCTATGGATAGACGAATTGTGTCATCTTGACTGAGTGATCACTGAATTGATTACTAATATAAACAATATTCTGAAGCTTTCAGAACTTCGAGGTCGCATGTAGTTTCTTCTATCTTTCCTCTGTTTCGTTACCTCGTCCATGATGCAAGGGTAGGAGATGTCTCGCAACTAATAAGTGGTTATAAAGTTAGTATATACGTTACCAGGCACAAGCAGTGTCAGTACG